TCCCTTTCTTTCTTTCTCTTTCCTTCTTTCCTACCCAGATCCCTCTTCTTCCCCTTCTTTCTTTCTCTTTCTTTCTTTCTTACCCAGATCGGCTGGGTTCTGATGAGCTGGGTAGCTGGGTTCTAATGAGTTGGGTAGTTGGGTTCCGATGAGCTAGGTAGCTGGGTTCGACGAAACCCAGATTTGCTGGGTTCCGTCGAACCCAGCTTTGCTGGTCACCTGAACCTAGCTGTTGGGTTTCGCGTGACCAACAAGGCTGGGTTTCAACGAACCTAGCCTTGCTGGTCGCGTGAACCTAGCCTTGCTGGTTGCCCGAACCCAGCCTTGCTGGGTTCGTCGAAACCCAGTTGCTGGGTTCGTCGAAACCCAGCTGCTGGGTTCGCGTGACCAGCAAGGCTGGGTTTCGACCAACCCAGCCATGCTGGTTGCGCTTGCTGGTTTCATTGAAACCCAGCCTTGCTGGGTTTCGACACTGGGTTTATGTTTTTTCATTCTTCTTTTGATTTTCATTTTCGGTTCTTGATAAATTTGAGAATTGATTTACAATTTGATTGCATTTTTGTTGGAATTGGATTAGAGTTTGATTGCATTTGTTTATTGAAGGGTTAATTTGATTTGGTGAGATATATTGGCTTGATGAACTCAATGGCTTTAATGAAACTAGTAATTGGGTTCGATGATAGAGAACTCAAATTTTGCTCTGGAGAATTCTAGGGTTCATAGTATTTTTGCAGGTTTTAGTGAATTTGATTTGTGAGAATATGAACTCTCAACATCATAGCATTTAACCTTTTATGGGTCCACTAGCAGCTAGGTTTCGACAAACTCAGCCGATCTGGGTAGGAAAGAAAGAAAGAGAAAGAAAGAAGGGGAAGAAAAGGGATTAGGAGATGAGGGTAGTAACATAATTTTATCTTTTAATTAAAATATAAATATTTATTTACGTGACATTTTTATTTATCTATATACTATAAATATAATATATATAATTGTCATGTCATCAAAAAAAA